GGGGGTAGTGCACGACTGACAGACACTACCCAACGAAGACACTGTCAGCTCGTGGTGAAGCAATGTGGGACGCCACATTGTGTACCTGCATATTTTCCAACTTTCTGGATGGCGTGAGGCTAAGCCTAGAACCTCACTTGCTGCAGACTTGAGCGATCGTCGTCATTTCGACCTGTTCGTCGCCTTCGACCTTACGCTTTTGGCCTCACTTCCTCTTCCAGACCCCCCAGGCTCCGATGGTCCTTACTGGTACTCTTAGGAAATGGAACCCTAGGCCGGCGTGTGGCACCGCATTCAGTTCAGTACACAATATCTCAAGTGTGTTGTATGACCAATCAACAAGTTTAGTTTTCAATACATCTATGTGTTGTTTGTTAATCTTGTCTAAGTTACCCAAGTGCTTGAACTTGATCCTAGCGCCAAACCTAGTGCGAACCTAGCGCAACCCTGCGTTTTGCTAGCGCGACGAGGTAACACATCCACTTTAATCAGCAGAATACCAAGCGGTGGCCAAGCGATTTCTGAACCTCTGGGAACCTTCCTTACTTAATACATATTACCGGGCTCTTTTTTGGACTCAAGTGCTTTTCGGATCACCTAAAGACAATCTTTTTATAGTCTTTGACTCCCAGGATATAGTATATATATATATGGTTGGTTTCCAAAATGTCTTTTCCCAAAATGGTGCACTCGTCGCAATTCCATGGGGGCCCGCTTCTAAATCTCCTTTGAACTTCAACCACACTCAAGCCACAGGGATGTTAAACATGAAGGCGTGTGAACTGCAAAAACTGTGAGAGGTGTCTAGCGCGGACTGCTGAGATGCTGGAGCAGTTGCTGCTGCTGCTGCTGGACTCCTGCAGTTGTTTCCACTTTTTGTTCTCAAAAATCTTCAGAACGACATAATTAGGAAGGACGTAAGAGCTGACTCAAAAGATTTGGATGTTGGATGGGCAAATGGTCAAGAAATGAACCGTCGTCTAGCGCGGTGCTAGCGCGGATCTAGCGCCAGCCTAGCGCAAAAATCTACGTCGATTTCTTTATCCTTTCAGATTCTTATTTTTCCTGCTTGCTTGTCTTCTTCTTGTTGTGCATTATTCTGATTCTTATTCTTCTTCTTGGCTTTTCTTTTTTCTTGTCTTGCTTCTTCTGTTTCCTGCTCTCTGCTTGTTTCTTCTTTTTCCTGCTTGCTATCCTGTTATGAAGAAACCTAGCGCCAACCTAGCGCCAATCTAGCGCTGCCTTGCTGTATCACCATATTCTGCTGGGCCCGCTTCTAAACGAAAACTTAAAAACACATCTACAGCTACAGCCTTAAAAGTTTACGTTTATCTATATTTTTGGAGTAGGGCTTTTTGAGCGCAGTCCATATATATATATATACAAGGGTGTGCGCGTGACGTTCTCTACTCTTAACAATAAAATGCCATTTTGCAGCTTGCTTCTCGATGCCATCCAACACGTACGTACTTGGCACTCCAATCAGTCAACTGATATGCAACGATTCTTTTGGTCCAGCAACTTGCATTGCCCAAAAAAAGTCAAGCAGAATAGGCAGAAAAGTCACGCCGTCTATGCACCGAAGCAGTGCTCCAAAAACGTGGACTTTGACTCCAAGTGCTTCACACCGTTTTCGCACGGCACACTACCGCACGGCCTCCCACTGTAGGTGCTTTTCGAAGGTCTTTGTGCCCTTGGAGTTTATCCGTCCTGAGCTAAGTGGCTTGGCACAAGTACTGAAGTGGACACTGGCTGAACCTTTGCACATCATGCATCAATGATGCATCTTCCATGAGCGTACAAAATGTGTCCGCATGCCGCATGCGGAAAGCATTAATTATCAAACATGAAATGATCGCATACCTTGTTCCCCCCAAATTTATGTTTCTGGTTCTGCCCCATCTCGTCTATAGGTCCGATAGACTTATCATCAATCAGCGAACTTTGCCTCCTTTCACTGGATCCCTTGATCCGAAGGACTCACCGAAGTGCCCATGACGAAGTAGTTCTCACTCGAGTCCTGCCGAACAGAGACTCATGGTCACAAAATGTCATAGGTTCAGGGCACTTGCACCCGCCCAGGCACCTCGGCATTGGTCCACTCGCCTTGCAGGAATTCGATCACCTGGCGTTGAGTGGCGGAGTTTTCGGGATGAGCAGCAAATTGAAGAATGCTGAAAGCGCTGTTCTTTAGAGGCAGCATTAACAACATCGCATTGTCCTCAATTTTGCATAGAAGTTCAGAAGTTCCGCGTCTGAGGCTTGGAATGCCCAAATGCCAATCTGACATCTGACATCATCTCACTATTTTTGCAGAAACACCTCGTTTGACCCAGAAGTGTTGGTCGGTCTTTCCTCATTCCTGAATCACAAGCCCAAATGACCTCCAAGGCTTGCTTCCAATAGTGAGCGTGAGCTAGATCTGCCTCATGCAAACCAACAAAGTCGCAAGGACTACCCAAAACATGGAACATCAACATACATATAAATACAAGTGTTCAATTGATAAATCATTCAATATAACCAGCAATTCACACATGTAGCATGCGACTCAAGAAATATAACACTGTACACTGTTCAAGAGTTCAGTTTGCCAAGGTTGCAAACAAATGGCATGTTCAAGCCGAAACCCAGACATGTTGGGTCAAAATCACACAATGGTTGGGGTGGGTCTGTTCAGCACTTTTTTGAACATGTCTTACCATGTCGCCGCCTCCACAGCATGTCTCCAGCTCATGGTCTGGACACATCGCGAAAATAAGAAACGAAGTGACGTTCGGTGAACACATTGTCGGTGACTGAGATGCAAATGCACATTGTGTATAGCCAATACGAAGAAACGCAGACAGAAATAAATTGACACGGTGAAGAAAATGCCTCCGGATTGAAGCAGCACCTTAATTTCAGTCGTTCATTTAAAGCTGAGTGTACCCAGAGCTCCACAATAAGAAGATACATAAGAAGATGCAAAAACAGAGTTCTTATATTTTCACAATTCACAAAGCCTGCAGTCACAGCATGGCGACCCGCGGCCAGGAGCTGGAACAGGTCAGCTGCTGTCTTGCGGAGTACCAGTTCAGTGCAAGGCTGAAGTGGAAGTCGACTCTTGCAATGCTTTGCATTTTGCTTTGTTTCCCTATCAAATCAATTCATGTAGCTAGGGGGCGTCGCTCAGGCAACGGTGTCTGGTTTTGCAATTCGAGCAGGGGGCGTTGATGTAGAGTCTCGTCTCGATCGGTCCGTACGCTGCTTCGGTCTTCGGCGGAGGAACAAACATTGAGCTGTTTGGCAGCGGCAAACGAATCAAGAGTGTGCAGTGTGCAGGCATTCAGAAATAAAACAAATCAGGTCACACTTTGAGGCTTAAGCATCAAAGTAAAGCAAACATGCTTGTACTATCGATGCAAGTCATGAAGCCACTAGCCTTCATTCATTCCCAACCCTCCCAAACAGGCTGGTTGTGGCACTCAGATACAGGAATTTGCACTCAAATACAGGAATTCAATCACTCACACTCCATATTGTGAGAATCCTGTTTGCCCCGGCCTAGAGCAATCAACATCATGACCAAAAGTTCAAAGGTTGCAGTGAGATAGTGCAGGAAGCTCCACACCTGCATCTTCGATCCGTGGCCAAAGGAATTTCGATTTGTGTGAGTTGGTGTCACCTGGAACTTCCATGATACCGCATAGCCCGCAGCAGCAAGGTCCTGAGAATGATTGTTTTCAACGGACGAGCGGCGCGAAGGCTTCCACAGTCACACATTTGCTCACCGTATCCACCCTGAAACCATCGAACGTAGCATACATGACTGCGGCCAAGCCCGCCTTCTCTTACAGAGTACTGAGTCAAAAAAAAGCACAGAACTCGAGCACACTCTACTGAGAAAGAGAAAGAAGATCAATTTTCGCATCACAGGCTTCCTCCTGTGTTGTTATGCTACTTCTATTACTGTAGAAAGGGAGGAAAGAAAAACGAAAGGTCTAGAGTCTAAAGGTCAAACGGTGAGAAGAAAATAAAACAAGAAAGAAAAGAGAACAACGGGTATTTACAGAAATTAATTAAAAAGGAAAAGGAAAGAGAAACATGTTGTTGGCAATTCAAACTGGGTTACCCTCTCATTAGGGCACACGAACGGACCCAACACTGGGCTGTCGGGCTCGGTACAAATCAGCCCGAACAATGAGCTCGGTGGCCTGCCGTGCTGTGAGGCCACTCCAACTAATGAAAGAATCTGAGGCAGGTAGCTGAAGGAAGGAAGATCTGAATCAAAAAATAACATAAAATAACCTAATAGCAATGGCCTCCAACCTACTATCGATGGCCTCCAACCTAAGAGCTGAAGAAAGGATCTTTATGTCATCCCAATCAAGCGGCGTTCAACCAACCATGTCTTTCCACGTCTTTCAATACGCATCTCACCATGGTTGACTCATCGTTCTCTTTGGTAGATTCCTACGATTCCGTTTCGAGGCGGGGGCATTCACAACCTACAAGCGAGAGGCTTCATAGCGATGTGCCCTGTAGCAAACCCATATTGTGACAACACATGATACATAGGGAAGCAACTCGTTGTGGGTCTTCTTCGAAGCTTGGATTCCCTTCGTTGGTGACGTCTTCAGAAGGGTTCATGTAATTGTTGGTAAGAGGAATGTCTCACACATGAACCTCTCTTCACTTATGCTGATGCAAGTGCAAAGAACAAGGGAAGCAACATAAAGGAAGATCACCAGTTTGCAAGGAAACAAGCATGCATGGAAATACTCTCAAACACTTGCGTCGGTTTTTGTCCACAGAGCTTGTAATACTCAACCAGGAACCAAGGATTCCAAGGGTTCACTTGACCATGGATGTTCAGTGAAATAATTGGCCAGCAGAGCTTTCTTCGATTCTGTGCAAAAACAACGCCCTGCTTGCGAAGTCCAAGCCGATCATGGGGAATAGTGGAGAGGTTGGTTGGGACTTGGCACGTTTCCACATGATCCTGCCAGGATGACTGTACACTGCATTCATCTTCAATTAGCCATGGAAGTTGGCTGCTACTAGCAGCCGGCGATAAAATGCGAATGAGCGTAAACAGCAAATGTGAACTTTTGTGAGATTGCCCGTGAAGATTGAAAAAAGGCCTTCAATTTTCTCAATTTCAAACTCAGTGGCTGTAGGTCATGGCTGCTACACGAAGTAGCCACAGATCTGCTATACAAATGCCTGAGCCAGCTCTGCACGCGGCAGGCACATTCGATTGGACCTTGTGGCCTGCATGCTCACTGTGCAAGACAAGGATGGATGGTATGGGTCAAAATACTTGGCCTTGGATTCATATGTCACCATTAATAGCCGAGAATATACACAGCAAATGTTAGATTCTAGGTCAATGTTTCGCCATCTCTGTGAGAAATGGGGCAAACCCTCAGCTTTAGATGTCCGAAAAACTACAGGAGACGCATCTGCATCTTCCAACAGCTTTGGCTTCAGAGAACTCCCAACTTTCATGTTTCTGATAATATGACGCCTCAATGATTCGAGATACATAAAATCATAGTCACTACACTACAGAATTCCTTTTTGCTCAGTCGCTTGACTCATGCGACTCCAGCGACTCATCATACAGTCTTGTCGCCCTCACTTGGACTTGTCTTGCGACTCACTCGGACCAGCTTTTCAGGAGTCATCTCCTGCACGTCATCATGCGAAAATCGATGACCGAAATCCTTCAGTCTGATGCGATGGCCTCCAACCCAATAGCGAGTCTGATGGCGTGTTTTTTTTACTTTCATAGGAGCAAGGACGCTACTAGTAGCTCCTGGCCTCAGTACTAGGAACAAAAAGCTACTGGGAACAAGGGCAATTCTACTAGGAGCAAGGATGCTACTAGAGATGAACTTCTGGAAGTCAACGCGAAGGCATCTCAATTCTTTCCCTTCGTGCCTCAGCTTGCGTTGGAGTCCCCGGTGCTGTTGACTCTGGAGTACCTACAAGTCTCTACAAATCTGTACCTGTTCTGAACAATCTGAGCGCCTGAATGAAAGATTGGCTTGGTGCTTCTGTGACCAAACAAACAGGTCGCCAGGTACCTTTACCGCCACATTTCGGGGCTCTCAGAGATTTCCAGACAGCAAATTCCGGGTACCTGAGTCGCTCTGGTGCTTCTCCTTCCTGGGTGTCCTCAAGAAGTGGACAAGAAGCTACTCGTGCTGTGGGACTCTCTGAGTGTCTTTAGGCTAAACTTTAGGCCAAGTGAAATCATTGAGCTTTGTCTTCAAGTACTGTTTTCTCTTTCTGTCTGTCCATGACTGCCTGTCCTGAAGCCCACCTGCTCCAGAAGTCCGTCGAAACACAAGGCCTGTCGCGGATTGATGCTGCAGGAGGGATACATACATCAATGCAGATTTGGGGAGATGTTGAAACTAACTACAAGTAGTGTGTATTAAATACGGGATGTCCGATGATTTTATCTGTTTTTCCCTCAGATTCAAAAACCAGTGCGGTCAGTCTGGTGCTGGCTGCGCTCCAAACTCTCCAGTTTTTAGAGAACTGCATTGTGCCAGACCTTGATATTGATATTGATAATTATATATACAATATACTAACCAATTAAAAATACGTCAAAACCACAAATATCTCAGGCCGCTCAAATGGGACCCAGCACCCGCAGGTGGCATGGTCAATATGTAAAGGGGTAGTTTTGGGTGGCACTTGATTTTTGGGTCATAACCCCGTGCCCCTCGAGTACATACAAGGATGTCAAAGGCGTTGGTTGAATCAACCAATTCAACAAGGGAAAAACATTGAGTAAAGACCATTTGCCCTAAGATTTTCATAAATTGAAACCCATTCCAATACACACATGACAAAAAAAGTCCTCCCCATCACTTTGCTCACATCAACTGTGCAGGTTCACCATGACAGTGCACAATTGCCTGCGGTGCCTCACTGTCGCGAGTGCCCCCTTATTGAGGAATAGTAGAACCAGTGAGCTTCACGTCTTCCAAGGGTGCCTCCTCTTCTGCTTCAATCATGGCTTCACGAAGGATGTTCAATTTGTCCTTCTGATCCTGGAAGCATCTCTAACCGTTTGATGCAATGACAAAACATCTTAATCTGCTGAGAACAGCAGCAGCAGCAGCTGCTGCAGCAGCAGCACTAACTAAACTACCTGATCGAATCCATATATTTGTTTTGGCTTAGTATGCACGTCCAATGCCGCAACACTGACCTGCGGCAAGCCTGTCAAAATAGAAAAGCAACACACGTACCACAATACAGGCATTCTACACTTCCGCCTCGTAAGTCTTCTTGATACCATCAACCTCGGCGACTTGATCAGGACCCGTGAGCATTGTCTACTGCGTCAAGCTTCAAAAGCAACTAATAATGCCCTCCATGTGAAAAATCCTCCGACATGTCTGTGCGTTGCACCTCACATGTCTGTGGTTACAAATGCCCTTCCCTTGAAAAAACCGAACACATGGATTCTTCATGATTCTGTGTTGAAACGCAGCCGTCAATGTCCGCACTCTGAAGAAAATGATTCCCTTGCCAAATGGATGGTCTGCCACTGGTCACTGGAAGCTGACATGAGCTCCAACACCAAACTGTTGACAGGAGACACGCTCCGCCGCCTGCTGCTCTGCCTTGCTTGCATTCTTCATGGCCGACTTTGCGTGCTCCAAAGCCACTCGTTGGTCATCCAGAATGCTCTGGGCCCTGAAGCCAAAATGGGGGCAGGTTGAAACCAACAAGAATCCAAGAGATTAAAAAAAAGGAGTCAATAAGCAAATGAGAAAAAGTTGCATGACGACGAGTATGATAACTTTAACTTGGCATGTGTATATATATATCTGTAATTGCTTTATGTATATATATATATATTCATCAAACATTTCACTTCCAAGAATCTTCTCGAACCGTCCATGAAGCTCTCGAGCAAACTTACGCAAGTGCTCCTCGGCTTTGAGCTCGAAACCCTGTCGGCCGCTGGGCGCCTTCTGCAGAACCTCGGAGCAATGCAAAGCAGCCAAAATCCCTCTCTAACGATCTGGAATTTTCTGAATATCGAATCGTCAAACCACCGTATTATAGATCTTCCCCTGGTCGCTTGTTATTTAAACAAAGTATATATCATGGAACATCATAGAAAATCACCTTTCATCGCCATCTTGACAATCTTCAACGGCAGATCTCAACACAGCAAGGCCTCGGGAGCGACGGCCGCCAAGGAGGCCTCCATTCCTTCCTCCTGGAGGGCGTCCACCATACGCTGAACTGCGTCGCCGTCCGCCCTGGTCCCTTCCGGACGCAGAGCATCAAGGAGTCCTCTGTGGGGAAGGCGGCGCAGTGGAGGACTGTTTCATGAACGATATTGGAAAAACCCATCTGAGTTCTGAAAGAATAAAGAACGGGTGAGGTGCAGAAGAAAAACTGCGTATGGATCTTGGTACAAGACTTGTGACATTTTTTTGGACTAGAGCAGCGGCAAAGTCGTAGCTCTCTGAGCAATTCACTGCTAGAATCTGCAATAAACCTGCGCCGCGCAAAGCTCGCAAGCCCATTTGTGGCTGAACTTCCCCAGTGGAGGTCCGACCATGATACAGTATAGATGTACAGGATGTATCTGGATGTACTATCCGAGAACAGCATGCCCAGTGTCCAGTGTGGAAGAAAGGAAGTGTGCAGCAGATGCTGCTGGCCGTTGACGAATCTGTTCAATGGTCACGCAAAAAGGTATTCTTAAAATTTGTCATGTTCTCCCATTTGCCTGGCCTTCAGTTGTCCTAACAAGTCCAAACCACAAAATGTGCCAACATGTGCCAACTGGCCTTTGCCATTGCCTGTGAGCTACCTCGGTCTTCAATCCGAGCTGCCTCAGATGGATCCTTTTGGGGTGAGGCTCCGACATGACTCGACTGGTCCAAGGATGTCCTTGTGCCATTAGAGACGCCGGCTCCATTCGCGAAGACTCTGCTTCTGCCGCGTCCATCATCGACTGCCTTCAATGTGACAGTTGCTTAAAGATTGTTTCCGGGACGGCAAGTCAGACATTTGATCAAATTGCTGCAGAAGACGCAAAGGATATCTGATTTTCGAATAGGAACTGAATCGCATCAGTTTTGACATGTGCGTGGCGCATGGAGTCAACAAGCGAGCAAGCCCGAGGGCCGTGCCTCTGACACAATTCGTTATGCCTCTGTTCCGTCTCTCTTCCGCAGCAACGAAGCTCGTGCACTGCCGAGGACAAATTGGCATCGATTAAAGCCAACTCCTCCTGGAAAACGTCATCTTTGACACAAAACTTCCATGGCCATACAGACCTACCATAAGGTTCAACAAAAAAGTTCCCACACCTTCTCCGCCTCATAGGTGTTCCGCTTGCGCAGGTAGGCCTCGTGCAGTCTTTCTCCAGCAGCCACCAAGGTATCCTGCAACAAAACAGTCGAGGGATGTAGGACAAAAGTGACAAATACGAGCAAACTATTTTATATATAAATTGATCAAGTTTCATACATTCAGTACTTCTGGGTCTAACCTGTGCCAAAGTTTCACCGAAAGGGCCTGAAAGGGCCTAAGGGATTGCCTGGGTGCGGCACTGTGCTCACTTTAAGCCACTCTGTGATTTCTGTACTGTACAATTATGCGTGCCTGCATCCCAGTCCTCAGCATGGATCATCATCTTGGCATGTATCGTCCTGCGACGCTTGACTTCCTGCAGGACAGGAAGTATGCGCATACGCAAGCCCTCCAAGTGGTGCACATCAGAAAAACATGCAAAACCACGGCAGTAGTAACAAGTGCATCGCTACTAGGAACAGGCGCCTTACTAGTAGTAACAAGAAGCTAGTAGAAACAGGTGCCTAGGATCTTTTCACTTGATTTCCCTGTCCTGGAGCATGTGGTCGCCAGAGCGCTTCTCAGGCCGACGGGTCATGTCGCTGGATGCAAATTCACCGCACGCAGCCAGCATGTCAAACAAACACAGGCGTCACGAGTCTTGGTGGACTACTCTGTGACTGACTCTGTCTGACTCTGAGCCAGAACTTTCCACGCAGAGTTATTGGATTACTGATGATTACTGTAAATATGTGTTTACCTTGTGTGGCTGAGTGTTCTAGAATCATGGAACGCGTCTATCCAACGAGTTTGCAAGCTGATGGTAATTCAAGCCTCCAAACTAGCGCAAGCATCCACACCATCCTGCCTTCAAGGCCGCACAAAGCATCAGCAACCCATGAAGTGGTGTGGATGCTCTGTACCACGTTGTAGACGTCAAGACGACCTCTAGACAGCAAATCCGTGGTCACGCATCAAGGCCCCCACCAGCGGAGGACGCCCCACATCAATTTCAATCCAACCTTTCCTCTTTGAATCAGATATATAGTTTGGGTGTGCCCCCGCCTTGCGACACAAGCAAATATGGTGCAAGTAGAATCAGGTGAATAGGTATCAGCAAAACAAATGAAAGCGCTCAAGAGGAGTCAGCAGACAAGGTGCCGCCCCCTGCACGTAGAAGGAGAAGAAAACGCTTCCAATGCCCCAAACCAATGGCAGCTTCGCCTACAAGTGTACTGCAAACATGCTGAAACTAGCCACTGAGTCTGCAACATTGGTGTCTGAGAGGAGGGATGGGTCAAAACCGCCCAGTTGTCTGACAGAATGCTACCAATTCATGTCAATCGAACATGCCAAAGGCTTACAAGTACTGCTCTGTCAATCTAAGCACCACACCCATTGAGAAGGCAAGTGCTGCCCTCCAGCGTTCACGAAGTCCAAGTCGCCCTGAACAAAACCAAAACAGCCACACATCACAAGCACTGTGAGAAAAATACACCGTACGTATAATGCCTCAAGATTGAAACAACGACCACTCCGCATCACTCCGCATCTCTGGAAAGTTCTATACGACTTTTCACACCCGCCATGTTCACATTGTGCAACAAACATGAGCGGCCTGGTAGAGCTTGGGCCTTCTCTCCTCCCATGTTGGATCGAAGACTCCCGCCTCGATGGATGGCCCAGACCGAGAGGCTCGGGATGCCAGACTCGTTTGGTTCTTTCTTCTTTTTGAAGGTCGGAAGGACTTCTTTGTCTTTTCTTGGATCTTTGGTTGGGCCTTCAGCTCCTTCACAATGGGATTTCTGGGGAGCTGGGAGCTGGATCTCTTCTTTGGTGGCCAAGCAGCATAAAAGAAATCCACCTTTGGCAAGTCAAGTTCAATCCTGCAGTAACAAGTGCATTACTACTTGCAACAAGAATCGAAGCTACTAGTAACAAGGGCATGCTACTAGTAACAAGGCCATTACTACTAATAGCATCTAGTAGCTAGCAGCTAGCAGCTAGAAGCTACTAGTGTACCCAAGTACTGCAGCTTCGTCTGCCAAGAATTCTCACCAGCTATAGGAAGGGGTCGACGGGAGCCATGAGGAGCCAATGGTGTGCCCACCTTGCTGGAAAGAAGGAGAGACAAGCTGCCACCCATCTTTCGTGCCTCCACACTTGCCTCATGACTGTTCCTTACTGACCTGCCAATGCCTGCTTACTTACTGCTTACTAAGACATACAGTTAATCCGCCGGCCTGCCGGCGTGTTTTGTGGATTGTTTTGGTTAGTATTGCTTGTGTTGGTTTCAACCTACGGTTTGTATCTCCGCGCGGATGTTTCGACAGCCTGACGCCCCCCCCCCCCTCCCCCCCTCCCCCTTCTCTCTACGTCTAAAGTGGTTGGACTGAGACATGTCGATCGCTGGATCAGAATAGACAACCTCTGATTCGGATTCGTTCGATTTCATTGTAAAACGACTTCGCTTGAAATCAACATCAACAAACTCTCCCAGCAAGATGTGCAACTCCAATGCACCCACAAGTCTGATTGAGCAGGGTATTGTTGTTCGATGTCATTCTGGGTCTTGCATTTCAAACGGTTTGGAGAAAAAAACGACAAATCATGCCAGATCTAGAAATTCTTCGGTCGCTTTGAAGCCTTCTGTGCGTGAAAAAGAATATCTGGTGCGTGTCGCAATCCCTCGAGACGGTCGGAAAAAAGATCTGAAAAGGAAAACATGCAAACGGCCAAGTAGTTTGGAAGAAGAATCGTTTTCAAGGTCATGTTTTGTGGATAGTCTTGGTTCGGATTCGCATTGCTTGTGTTGGTTTCAATTGGTTCCTCTTCGGTGATTCGACTGAGACATGCCGGTTCGGATCGCTGGATCAGAATAGACAACCTCTGATTCGGATTCGTTCCATTTCATGGTCAACCAACCTTGAAATAAACATCAACAAACTCACCCAGCCAAATGTGCAACTCCAATGCACCAACAAGTATGATTGAGCAGGGTATTGTTGTTCGATGTCATTCTGGGTCTTTCATTTCGAACGGTTTGGAGAAAAAATCGACAAATCATGCCAGATCAAGAAATTCTTCGGTCGCTTTGAAGCCTTCTGTATGTGATAAAGAATATCTTGTGCGACTCGCAATTCCTCAAGACGGTCGAAAAAAAGATCTGACAAGGAAAACATGCAAAAGGCCAAGTAGTTTGGAAGAAGACTCATTTTCAAGTACCGGTTTTGTGGATTGTCTTGCTTCGTCTGGCTTGTGTTGGTTTCCATTGGTTTCAATCTACGGTTGGTTTCAATCTACGGTTTGTTTCTCCGCGCGGATGTTTCGACAGCCTGCCCTGCCCCGGTTGCTTCAGACTAGGCCATGGCGAGAACAGGAAAAAGCGAGTTGAATCAAAGAGACGTGCCGGATTATATAGCTGCTTCAGCCTAGAAGAGGTGATCTTGTCCCTGCCTTGGAACGAAAATAGAACCGTGGAACACTGTTAATAAGCATCATTAGGCTGCCTGCCAATGCGGGCTCGAGCTGGTGGCCGGCGGCATGCCGAAGGCTATAAATATCAGTTAACATTCTCACACCAGGTCTGCAATCAGATGGACAATGAAAACGACTCCACCCTCAAAAAAGGATGAACTCGATCGCTCGCTTGCGCTTTCTGCAAGTCAAGGGTGCTCAAATGGCTTGGGACGCAGGAGCGGTTTTGGATGAGTTTGTGATCTTTGCCGTGACACTTCGAGCATCTCTTCCCGAGACGAACGGTCAAAATTAGATAAATTAGGGAGGCTGCTTCAAGCACGATATACAAGTTTAGAAGTCGATAGAGTTTGTTGTGTAGGAGTGATTGTGACAAACAGTTCCAGGCCTAGGCAAAAAGAAATTGTTCCCCAATAGCCATGCTATGGGGTCTTGCAAAACTAATAGACGGACGGGCACCGTCGGGTCACCGTCAGAGCTGGTGGGCGGATGGTGTCCCGGTCATGTTTTGATGGCGTCCGGGTCATGTGATGCTGGTGTCCCGGTCATGTTTTGATGGTGTCCCGATCATGTTTTGATTGTGACCCAATCATGTTGTGATGGTGTCCCGGTCCTGTTTTGATGGTGTCCCGGTCATGTTTTGATGGTGTCCCGGTCATGTTGTGATGGTGTCCCGGTCATGTTGTGATGGTGTCCCGGTCATGTTGTGATGGTGTCCTGGGCATGTTTTGATGGTGTCCCGGTCGTGTTGTGACGGTGTCCCGGTCATGTTTTGATGGTGTCCCGATCATGTGATGGTGGCGCGGTCATGTT